GGAGAGAGAGAAAGAGAGAGAGAGAGAGAGAGAGAGAGAGAGAGAGAGCTTGGAACACTCAGTCCTAAATGGAATAACTCCATCAAATCTCTCCTTTCAGGGCCCAGGAAACTCTGGAAGAGGAGGTAAAAGACTGTAAGAGCCCAGAGTAGATGAGAGACCCCAGGCAAAGAGAGCCTGGTGGACAACTGGACTGACAGGTCTCAGCCAGACTGGCTCTCAGCACATGAGACTGTGTCAGCCACTTTCCCTAACAGCAACTCTAGGGTCAGGCACTTTAGGTACCAAGGAGAAAATCCGAGTTCATCCAAACCTGTGACCAATGCTACACATTTTCTATTCTCAACTTCTCCATGGAAACAAGACAAATGATGTGAGTCTAAGATTGCAACTTAAGAGCTGTTTCTACCTATGAGACCCATTCCTAGACCCCAGTTAAATTCTGCTGCTTATTGGCAGAACACGAGGACGGTCCCAGGGTCTCAGGGGATGGCATCAGGGCACCGCTCCAACCTGTTGTGTTCCTTTATCCACACTGTGAATCCTACACTATTCTACACATGGCGTCCACACTGTGAATCCTACACTATTCTATACACGGCGTCCACACTGTGAATCCTATGCTATTCTACACACGGGATCCACACTGTGAATCCTACGCTATTCTACACACGGGATCCACACTGTGAATCCTACGCTATTCTACACACGGGATCCACACTGTGAATCCTACGCTATTCTACACACGGGATCCACACTGTGAATCCTACACTATTCTATACACGGCGTCCACACTGTGAATCCTACACTATTCTACACACGGCATCCACACTGTGAATCCTACGCTATTCTATACACGGGATCCACACTGTGAATTCCAAAGCAAGCTCTCTTCAACTTCCAGAAACTGCAGCCCTGTCTTGTTCCCTAGGCCAGTATCTCTGATTTTGAACTTTGTCCATACCTTGGTTCCTTATATTTTTATTAAGTTATAAAACATTGCACAACCTCATACTGACTCTGGCTGCTGCCTGGGACCCCGGAACTGCCCTGATCTGCACTACTCTAGGTGGTCCAGAGACATGGAAATCTTTCTCTCCTTTAGACACATGCAGCACACACACAGCACACAAGTGAATGTGCCCTATGTCTGTCCTACCACGGACATGAGCAACAGGCATGCGCTAAGCGCTCTCTGCTTATGAATGGGCCGCATCCTCGCTCTGCTTTCCCTTTAGGAAGAAGCCAGCAGCCACAGCGCACGCACCTGCAGCACATCCCCCAGGTCGGCTGTGCTGATATCTGGGTCCTCCGTGGTGTTGAAAGGTACAGGAGTTATTCGCACGAGGATGAGCACTCGAGGCTCTGGGTATCTCCACAGCATCATGCCTGGGCTCTCCTCTGTCTCATTACAGAACAAGACTTCATAGGTACCAGGGAGTTTCAGAGGCTCTGCCAAATGAAAACAAAATGGTAAGGTTTTAAAAAGGAACATGTTGATTTCTCGGAGAGAGAATAAAAGGAAATCACATACAGAAGCTAATTGATCAGTTTTAAAATAGGACTTGAGGTGGGAAAAGTCAATTTTAAAAGAGGGAATGACTGGTATACACTACCCCCACACTGCAGTATGAATGAATGCTACGCAGTGATATTTAGTGAGCTCATTTCACCTGCACCTGGGCACACGCACTCTGACGCTGACACTGTTTGGACTCACCAGCATCCTGTATGTACTGAAAGACGCCTGTCCGCAGGTCATCTGAACTCTGCTCACTCTTAAAAGCTTGAGTCTTATCCACAGGAGATGGCATTTGGGGTGTTGATTCAGGAGCTGGCACTTCCAACTTTCCCTCCTCCTTAAGATAGCCACTGAGTAACTCATGCAGAAGGGCCAAGCAATTCAAATGTTCTTGACCCCAGAAGATCTTCAAAAGGGTATGACAATATTAACAGTCTTAAACAAAAACATTTCTTGAGGATAATTAATAACAAATCATATTTTAATTAATGTGAGACTATAATCATGTTCAGTATAATTACCAATAATAAACTATAATTTCCAAGAAATAATAATTCATTGTTTGAAATTCTAAAATTTGAATAAGCACATAACAGCAAGAAAAACATTATGGATTGTGTGACTAACAGTAAACTTTAAACTTCAGAGTAATGATGATATAAAATTGGTGTAAAGCATTTGCGAGTTCATTTAGTTAGCAAAGAGGAAAAAGAACATTTCTTAAAGTCCAAGACTAGGACACACAGATTCTCTAGGCCAAATGTTAATGAAATGATAACAGACTCATGGAATAGCTTCTTCCACTGATCATGAGATCAAATAATCCCGGCCAACGCTGCTTCTTAACAAGAGAGAGGGAAGCTGGCAAACAGACTTGAACTTAGAGGCTTCCCAAAGTCTGTGTTTAGTGAGACGGTCAACATACTCCACTCTGACAATCCAGTTTTTAGTGTCAGAGGGGTCTGACAGCCCAAGGATGCAGAGCTCTGTAATGGTCATATGACCAGTGGGCACAGTGGTTAACATATGTCCACAGAAACACTTGTCTGCAGTGGGCACAGTGGCTAATGTGTGTCCACGGAAGAGCTTGTCTGTAGTGGGCACAGTGGCTAGTGTGTGTCCACGGAAGAGCTTGTCTAGAGTGGGCACAGTGGTTAGTGTGTGTCCACGGAAGAGCTTGTCTAGAGTGGGCACAGTGGTTAGTGTGTGTCCACGGAAGAGCTTGTCTAGAGTGGGCACAGTGGTTAGTGTGTGTCCACGGAAGAGCTTGTCTAGAGTGGGCACAGTGGTTAGTGTGTGTCCACGGAAGAGCTTGTCTAGAGTGGGCACAGTGGTTAGTGTGTGTCCACGGAAGAGCTTGTCTAGAGTGGGCACAGTGGTTAGTGTGTGTCCACGGAAGAGCTTGTCTAGAGTGGGCACAGTGGTTAGTGTGTGTCCACGGAAGAGCTTGTCTAGAGTGGGCACAGTGGTTAGTGTGTGTCCACGGAAGAGCTTGTCTAGAGTGGGCACAGTGGTTAGTGTGTGTCCACGGAAGAGCTTGTCTAGAGTGGGCACAGAGGTTAGTGTGTGTCCACGGGAGAGCTTGTCTAGAGTGGGTACAGTGGTTAGTGTGTGTCCACAGAAGAGCTTGTCTAGAGTGGGCACAAAGGTTAGTGTGTGTCCACGGGAGAGCTTGTCTAGAGTGGGCACAGTGGTTAGTGTGTGTCCACAGAAGAGCTTGTCTAGAGTGGGGAAAGAGGGGAGTG